TATATATATATATATATATATATATATATATATCTATATCTATATCTATATCTAGATATAGATATAGATATAGATATAGAAATATAGATATAGATATATATATATATAGATATATATTCTGGTTATACATAATATCATGGGGTCAAATGTCTACACTGAAAACTGACCTCATATTGCCTTTATTATAGGGGAAATCAAGAAACTGAGCACACATGGGGGAAAATTCATTCATCAGGAGGATCTGAACAGAGATCCTTGCAGAAGTGTAGACTAAGAGAATGGGAAAGGGTTTCCCTGCTGGTGAGACCAAGAGTAGCAGATGCTTGGAGTTGGGAAGTAAGCATCTTTAGCAGTCAGGAGCTGAACTTGCCTAATTGGAATAGAACACACCCCTAAAGAGAAGACAAAGTGTCAGATAGGGACTAGCTTAATGAACAAGCAGCTAGGTGATTTCCATGTTGCAGGAATGTTAGTCCTTCCATATGCAGGATGCAATCAGAGAGGGTGGCTTTAGGCATGACCACCACTTAAGAAGACCTCACAACCATGGGAAAAGGAATAGCAGGAAGTTTATTCCAACACAGGGGATGGAGAGAAGGCTTTTTAAAGACCCAGATCAAAGACTTACTCTTTTCTTGGTGGTGGATAAAAAACAAGACAAAGTCAGTGATGACAGAAGCTGGGACTGGGGCACCTGGGGACAGAATGGTGAGTGAGTGGGGTTTGGTCTGATTTTAGGCACTGTGAGTTGAAAGTGACACCCAGAAGGAGGTGTGGCAATCTGTGCTGCATGTGGCGCTAGGAAGATAAGGAAGCAGAAAACACCCAATCAGAACAGTGAAAAGAAAAAGGATTAAAAAATGAGGATAGTATAAGGAGTCTTTGGGACAACTTCAAGTGTACCAACATTCTCATCATGGAGGTCCTAGAAGGAGAAGAGGGAGAGCAAGAAATTTAAAAAATATGTGAAAAAAAATAATGGTAGAAAACTTTCCTAATCTAGACATACAAGTCCAGGAAGCACAGAGTCCCACACAAAATGAACCCAAAGAGACCCACACCAAGGCACATCATAATTAAAATGCCAAAAGTTAATGACAAAGAAAGAATCTTAAAAGCAGCAAAAGAAAAGCAGTTACTTACCTACAAAAGAGCTCCCATAGAACTGTCAGCTGATTTCTCAAAAGCAACATTTCAGGCCAGAAGGAAGTGGCAAGATATACTCAAAGTGAGGAAAAGCAATGTCCTATAATCAAGATTACTCTACCCAGCAAGCTGTCATTTATAAATGAAGATCAGATAAAGAGAGGCCCAGACATAAAAGAACTAAATGTCTTCATCACCACCAAACCAATATTACAAGAAATATTAAAGGGTCTTCTGTAAGAAGAGGAATAAAAAAAGACAAAACTATGAATAATAGGAGGGCATAAATACATATCTGTCAACAATTACTTGCAAATGGATTAAATGCTCCAATTGAAAGACATATAGAGGCTGAATGGATAACAAAACAAGACCCTAACTCATGCTGTCTATAAGAGACCTACTTCAGATCAAAAGACACACAGACTGAAAGTGTAGGGATAGAGAAAATATTTCATGAAAATTGGAAAAAAAAAAGAAACAAAAGCTAGGGTAGCAATACTTATACCAGACAAGATAGACTTTAAAACAAAGTCTATAAGAAAAGACAAAGAACCCAGTAATTCCAATTCTGGATATTTATCCAAAAAAAAAAAAAAAGCAACAACAACAACAAAAAAACAATCAAGACATTAAATCAAAGATCATATACATCTATATGTTTATTGCAGCATTATTTGCAATAGCCAAGATATGGAAGCTACCTAAGTGACAATCAATAGATGAGTTGATAAAGATGTGATGCATATATCCAGTGGAATATGACTCAGCTATAAAAAAATAATAAAATCTTGTCATTGGTAACAACATGGATGGACCTAGACGGTATTGTGGTGAGTGAAATATCAAACAGAGGAAGACAAATGCCACTTAATTTCACTTATATGTGGAATTAAAAAAAATAAATCAGCATAACAGAAACAGATGCATAGATACAGAGAACATTTTGAAGGTTGCCAATGGAAGCGGGTTTGGGAAATGGGTTAAAAAAAGGTGAAGGGATTAAGAAGTACAAATTGGAAGTTGCAGAATAGGCATAGGTACAACAATAGTAAAGTACAACAATAGTCAATGATACTGTGAAAACTATGTATGATGTCAGGTGTGTAATAGATGTAAGTGTCTAATCACTGTGTTGTACCCTGAAACTAAAATAATGCTATATGGCAACTGTAATTGAAAAATAAAGGAGAAATTTAGATGACTATGTTGAGAACCGTAACTCCAAACCAAATCTGTAATGACCTGTCTATGCTTATCAGAGAAGGTTGGTGGTCAGTGTATTCTCCATTGATGTTGTTCTGTATCAGTCTCCTTGAAAGTTCCGAACTGCAATCCTCAAGTAGGACTTGGATGGGTGAAAAAGCAGAAGGGGAATGTGGTCAAGAACATTGTGATAAGTTTCACAGTGTCAGATGATTACTAGATCTAAGGGGGTGATCACATGGTGAAGTATAAAAATGTCAAATCACAGCCCTAGCCGGTTTGGCTCAGTGGATAGAGGGTTGGCCTGCGAACTGAAGGGTCCCGGGTTTGACTCCAGTCAAGGGCACATGCCCCGGTTGCAGGCTGAATCCCCAGTAGGTAGCCAATTAATGATTCTCTTCTATCATTGATGTTTCTAGCTCTCTCTCCCTCTCCCTTCCTCTCTGAAATAAATAAAAAAATATTTCTAAAAAATAAATTTAAAAAATGTCAAATCACGACATTGTATCTAAAACTAATACGGCCAATATAATATTGTATACCAAGTACATTTTGTTAAAGAAGAGCAAATGAAAATCTTGATTAGGGAAGGAAAAAAAGCAAAAAGCAAATTTCAACTGCAAATTCATTGCTCTCATTACAGTCAGAGTGGAGCAGTTTCCTAACCTGCGATGTACTACACGTTACTGGTAAACAGAGCCCAAGGCCCAAGTATATGGACAACATAGGCACCGGGTTATGTTCTCCCGGTAACCAATCTCCCAGAACTCCACCCTTGTTCTGGGCGAAGGGACCTCTTGGCCCTGGAAGTTGAATGAGGTTCCTAGTGCAGGAGAAGCTGTGATCACAGGAAAGCATCGCCATCTGGTAGGCACTCACCGACACAGGGCAGCTGCTCTCAATATCCCCAAATGAGGAGTTTTTCCATTTCTCCCTATTTAATTTTGTTCAAATTATCACATAACTGCACACTGGTTTGGAGCAGCAAATTAATAATTTTTTCCTCTTCAGACTGTAATTGTAGATATGGAAACACCATATCAAAAGACAAATTAACACGCATTCCTTACAACGTTTTCACTAATTATCTCAGAAACCAGAGCCTCCCCGAGGTTAGAAACTTCAGCCCAAATTCAGGTTTGGAACATGGATTTCTTCCCGAGAAGCAGAAATATGTATCACGTTGAGAAAGTAGAGACAAGGGTGGGAGTGTCATAAATCAGCTGAAAACCCATCCTTGAAACCCTCCTCCTCCATCCCACCCCTGTCCCAGCACCACAGAGAAGGCCAGGAGATGGACGGTGCTCAAGACAGAAAAAGATAAAGTCACAGGCACATTTAACGTGACACCCAAGAGACTTGAACAGAATGCATGCCAAACAGCCCCCTCCTTTTCACTTACAAAATCTCACAATTTTCAGGAAATGCTGCAGCCTCAACTTCAAAGGCATTACCAGATAGATGTAGCATGTAGGGAATTAGACATAAAATGTCCTTTATTATTGGGAACAAAAGCTTCGGGTCTAATCTCCTGTGTGATACAGGCTTTAGCTGATCAGGGTTACACTAAGCCATTCTGATGTAGGGAACAGTGAAGACACCATCTTTTTATTTCTTCCCATCCCTCCTCCTCCTTCTCTCTGTTTGCATATGCAGATTCCACAGCGATGAGGTGAGGGGAGCCCTGCTGTACCTCTGAGGGCAAAAGCATTTCCTTTGATCAGCCTCTTCCAGGCCTGGAGCCCCACAGCCTCCAATTCTACCTGCCCCTCTGTGATAGTTGATGTATCAAATTATACTCCACCACGCTCAGAAGTGGAATACATTAAGAAATTCTGAAACCTATGAGGAAGCTACATCTTTAAAAAATAAATATTTCCTTCAGTTAGCCTTTTGAATGTTGATCTTTGTTGTTACATTATTACAGATTTATTCATAAAACAAGTTGTTTGCCCACAGAACCATTGCCGAGAAGAGCTGCTGTCGGAGGTTATGCACATCACTAAAGCTAACATCTGATAAGCAGTAAGAGGCGGGGAGATCGGACAAAATACTGCTGGCTTCACCGAAAAACAAAGCCTTCTGTGCAATGGGAAAGGCAGATGGCGGAAAGTGCTTACTTGCTAAAAACAAATGGAATTTCTAAAATGTACCCCAGCATCTTACAGTACAGAATTTCTCTTTTGCAGTAATTCTTATATAGTAGTAACGTATTCTGGCTCTAAAAGAGCAAACCGGATTGTTCTTCAAGGCTTTAAGAAACATGTGGTCTCGCGAACTGGTCTGGGTTTCCTGGCATTTCTTTCTACTGAGCAAGGTCCTGGGACTGAGAGAGCCGGATGAAATGTCTCCATTTGAAACAAACTTAGAGGACGAAAGGGGAACAAAAGCAGTGAATTTTATCCCCAGGAATGGTAGGGTGAACCATCCACACTCTCACACATATCCTGTGTTCATTGTGGGGGTTCTGCTAGCAAACCGTCCTCTCATCTCTGGATCCATCGCTGGCCTGCAGGAAAGAAAGACCCAGGCGGGTGGCAAAGTTTTGTGGGGACTTCCGGCTGGCTGAAGAGAGCTTTTTCAGAGAAAACAGGATCAAAGACACGGACGCATTTATGTAATGAATGTTCAAAAGTGGCCGCACTTACTGAATGCTGAGCCGGATCCAGGAAGCTGTGAGTTCCACTCGCATGAGGTCTTTGAGCAGTTTCCTAGGGAAGAGAAGGAAGCCTTTAGAATCAGGAATGCATTCTTGAATTGGGTCTGCATCTTTTTTTGTGATAGTATCTTCTTAAATATGTTCTTGACCATACAGTGAATTTAACAATGAGTGATGATGATGATGTTGATGAAAATGATTAAGCTCAAATCCGTAAATAGATTTTCAGAAAATCCTTTTACACCCCTGTTAGAAAGATGTTACTATTCTCTGAACTGCAGAAGAGGCAACCAAGGCTCAGATAGCTCAGGTAAATTGCCCAAAGTATGCACATGGTTGGTCGAGCCTGGATTTGAACTGGGGCAACTGGACACAGAGTTTAGAACCACTCGGCTAGACTCTTGTCTTACACAGTGAGTGTTCCAGAAAGGCTGCAGGCCAATCTTTCAGAAATATAATTGTGGATTTTCCTGCAAAGAGTCAGGTGGGAGGAAATCAACTCTAAATTGCCTTTAAACTCTGGAACTCCAAGATTCTGTAATGCTCAATTCCTGAGAGCTAATGTTCAAAGAGACTTCATTTACGATGAATAAAACTGCGATATAAGGTGCCCCATGGATAATAAAGTTCATGAACATGGCTATCCTCAGCCAATCAGAAGGATTAAGATTCATTTTCATTAATATTTAAATAAACCAAATATTGCCTGAACTGCAAATGGCCATTATAAACTCAAATACTTCAGTGAGTTGGGTAGAGGTCAGCTGCAACCGGACATCAATAACATCAGAAGGATAAGCACTATCCTCACTGTCTTCACCACCTCAGTACTCTCTAATATTTTAGAACTGTTTGATGTTCTCAAGTGTTTTATTTATCAACACCAGTAAGCTCACCAAATGTGAAGAATGTTAAAAAAAAGTCCACCATATTAAGAAAGGGGTTATGTTTCAATCAGAAACATCAATATTTACTAACAGACCTGAAAGATGCAGATGGCATCCCAGACCCAAGAGAGTTGACCCTGACCTGCTGCCCCCCTGGGGGAAGCTTAAGTAGAACAAATGGGTCTGGTTTGCAGCATTCTAGCATCCAGATCCAGTGTGCTTCCAGGGACTCCTATAAAGCAGTGATGCAACTTATGCCACAACTTAATGCAATTCAGAAGTTTCAGAGCTTAATTACTAATATTATTTGCAGATAACTGTTTAGAAGATATTGCCCGGCCAGCGTGACTCTGTGGTTGAGTGTCCACCTACAAACCAGGAGGTCATGGTTCAACTCCCAGTGAGGGCACATGCTCGAGTTGCAGGCTCCATCCCCAGTGGGTGGCGTGCAGGAGGCAACCAATCAATGATTCTCTCTCATCATTGATGTTTATGTCTCTCTCTCTCCCTCTCCCTTCCTCTATGAAATCAATAAAAATATATTTTTAAAAATTAAAGAAAAAGAAAATATAACCCCTTTCTTAATACGATGGGCCTTTTTTTTAAAAAACATTCTTCACATTTGGTGAGCTTACTGGTGTTGCTAAATAAAACACTTGAGAACATCAAACAGTTCTAAAATATTAGAGAGACCTGGGTCTGGAGAAGGAGAAACTGAGGTGGTGGAGACAGTGAGGATAGTGTTTGCCCTTCCTTCCTTCCATCTGTCCGTCCCATTCACCCAGGCTCCACTACCTAATCGTTTTGTGACCATGTACAAGTCATTTAACCTTGCTTGTCTCAGCCTCAACCTCTGTAAAATCAAAATAAACAGAATACCGACCTCCACAAATTTAATTGAGGTGAGTAATAAGAGTTCATACATGTAAAGTACTTAGCATTGTGCATATTGCAAAGTCAATGCTGTTTAAAAGTTTATTATTTCTTAAGCCCTTTTTTATGCTGGGCACTGTCCTCTTGGTGTCCAGTGGGGAGGACAGAGCTTGGTCAGGGATGCTGGGGAAGGTTTTGCCGAGGAAGAGGCGATAGCGCTGAGATTGTCATGATGAGAAGGATAAAGTGGGAGGACAGGATTAAGGGAGAAGAGTTAGGACATTTAGGAAGTGAATAGTCAAACTATATGTTTATCTTCTATAAATTCATAGTGTACCTCAGCTGAAGAATTATCTGTGGCATCATCATCAGCATCATCATTGAAATATAATAGTAGTAATTCTCTAGTACCTTTATTGAACCCATAGTATATCTCAGTCTTTGTATCAAAATCTACATGCATCCTCTCATTTAATAAAAATAATGACAGCTCCTATGGTCAGGTTCAATGTTCTTAACCCCTGCCCCTCCTTCTCCCCAGTTGCTTCCACCACTCACTAAATCCACTAGCTCACATACTCCAAGATCTGCCTAAATGGAACTACTTAAAAGACACAGGCGCTGTTACACCTCTCGCCTGTAGGCCACATTTTTCTTCCTGAAATGCCCTTCATTTGGGCCAATCTGAACTCATTCTTCAAGATCCGCCAAGTGTGAACTTCTCTCTGCAGCTTTCACTGACTCTTTTATTCCTGCTGGCCTTTCACATGTCCTAACAAGAACCATATGATCTCCCTCACCCTCTGTAGCCTGGCCCTGCCCAGGCTATGAAGTCCTAGGGGGCAAGGACTATGTTCTCTTCAACTCGGTAGCCTTATCCTCTGGCACAGTGGCAAGCCACTTCGCTGCTGCTCGCTGCACTGGGGAGCATAAGAAGCTTTCCTCATTGGTCACAGCGTTACATCACCAAGGAAGAGCCTGGGCCTCGAGAAGAGGCTTTCTCTGAGCACCATGGCTGCTCTGGCCTCTCGGACTTCCTGTCCAGATAATAACGTTAATTTCATGTCCATGTCAGCTTGATGCCCACACTTTTCTGCCTATTTTTAATTAAACCTGCAGTTGCACTGCATTGTGTAGCCCCCTCTTTACATTAATAAGAACTTGTCAAATCCTCCAGGTGGATTGTTTCATAAACATAAAGGCTGAGAACCATTGTTACAAGGTGAGAAGAGAAACAGTCATTAGCAATGGCACCAGACAGCAAGAAAAATCGAAGATGCTCTCCAGAGCTCCAGAGGAGTGAATAGTTAAGCAAAAATACCAAGATTGTCTGGAGTTTGCAATTGCTCCTGCAAACTACCTACAGAGCAGTTTGCACCAGGGAGAATCCTGGGTCCCGGTGGGATTGGATGGAGTGCGCACTGTGCTGAGACCTTGCTGGGGCTACTGAGCTGCAAGCGGAGAATTGGAAGGAGAAGTGCCGAGGGGAGCGCTCCGCCCTGCACTCATGCACTGAGTCCAAATGGATGCACAAAATAGCCAACCAATTTTGACCCTGTAGCGGGTATGTTCTTTAAGTTTGTAGCTTGGACTATAAACAGGGCTGGCTACTGCAACCTTTCTACTTCTGTGGTCTCTGCCATCACTGGTTTGGTGGATTTCCCCAGGCAGAACACTCCGCAATAGGCTGCTAAGTTCTCTTCCTGCCTGCAGGCTGCACCTCTCATCCCACCACAGAGCAGGTAGAACGGTCCTTACATAATGGGATGCCCCATGGATGGCTTCCTCCATGCAGGAGGGACCCATGTCCCTGTGACAGCCTGACACCCTGCATGGTGTGCTCCTGGTCACAGTTTCAGCCTTATTTATTTATTAGAGGCCCAGTGCATGGAATTGGTGCAGGGGGTGGGGGGGGAGGCCTTAGCCCAGCCCGCACCCTCTCTAATCCAGGACCCCTTCGGGGATGTCTAACTGCTGGTTTAGGCCCAATCCCAAAATCAGCAGTTGGACATCCCTCTTGCAATCCGGGACTGCTGGCTCCTAACTGCTCACCTGCCTGCCTGCCTGGTCACCCCTAACTGCCCCCCCTGCTGGCCTGGTTGCTCCCAACTGCTCCCCCTGCCAGCCTGGTTGCCCGCAACTGCCCCCACCCTGCTGACCTGGTTGCCCTCAACTCCCCCACCTGCTGGCCTGGTCGCCTCACTCAGCCTGCTTGTTCAGTACTTTGGTCATCCCTCACTAACCACCCTGCCAGCCTGGTTGTAGGCAGCCATCTTGTGAGGATGTGAGGGTTAATTTGCATATTACCTCTTTATCATATAGGACTAGTGAGCAGGCACCCCCGCTCTCCAGACCCCTTGTGTACCATACCAGGGACCTTGCGTTTCTGGGTCACCCTATGCTCCCCACCTGCCACAGGGGAGTTGCACAGGCTGTATCTCTGACCTGGGATGGTCTTACCCCCAGTTAACTCATATCCATCCTTACTTCAGGATGAAAACACTACTCCTGGTCCCAAGTGCCCATTTTCCTTCCTGCTGAGTGCATCTCATAGCTATCATTTACTAGTCAATTAAATGATTTTGTTAAAGTCTGCCTGTTTCACCAGTGTGTTAGCTCTGGGGGCAGAGGCTAACTCTAGCTCTGACCACATTGCTGGGGACATGGGAGGCATTTGATAAATATTTTCCAAAGGAAGGAAAGATGGAAGGAAGGAAAGAGAGGGGAGAGGAGAGAGAAAGGGAGGAGGAAAGGGAGGCTTACTGGCCTCGTTGCTAACTTTAGGCACTCTGGGGTGACTATGAGGCCCCTGTGAGAGCTGTCCCTACCTAGTCCCTCTCCCCTGTCCTCCCAGAGACCATGTCTGAGGTACTCAATCCTGGCTCCATGAGGGCAGCGTGGAGCAGGGATGGAACCCTCTCTGATCTAAGTTCCATTTCTCCCAGGAACTTGGAGGGCACTAAGTTCCTAGAACTGAGGACTCACTGATTGTGGGGTCCCCATTCTCTGCCATATGTTCATGGAGAGAAACAGAAGGCAGGCTTCGGATCAAGAAGAACAGTGCAGAGAGCAGAGGCAAGAGTGGAGGGGCCGTGGGGACCACATTGTTCCCTGATTGCTTGTGGCTCAAGATGCCAGTCCCTCATGGGACATGGGAATCAGCGCACCCCCTGCCTCTCACTCTCAGTGCTGAGACTCACCCCTGTGCCGGGTGATAAATATCCCCACTATTTGAGCTGTTTTGAGTGGGCTTCTGTTTATTGTCAAAAAAAAAAAAAAAAATAAGAGAGAG